TTCTACGGCATTCAAGCCGGCTATATTGTATTTTCAGTTTCAGTGGATTACATCTTAAGTGAGTGTTGTAGTTCAGTTCCAGCAGTGAACGGCAAATGTGGTGCGGATTCTTCAGAACCTGGTAACACGTTATGAGATCCCCTCACAAAAGCCGATCTCGAATTCTGTACATTCCTAGCAATTTCAGTTTAAGCTGACAGGGCAGAGGAAAGAGGCCCCTGACGTTTTTGGTTGCCCTTAGTTAAGGACTCTCGAGAGCAACGAGATCCTGTTTCAGCCACGGTTGCCACGACTGAATTGCATATTGCAAGTGAGGTGGCACGTTGGCGTTTAGCATGTGGGGAAAGATTGAGAGTTGAAACGGACCGAAGGCACTGCGAAGCAGATCGAAGTGTTGATTGCCGGTTCTCGTCGCTTTCTCTGCTTGCTCAAAACACCCGAGATCTTTCTGTACCAATACACCCATTTTACGCTCTTGAGAGACCTCTGAGGTGTGGTCTGCAAGCCTGTAAGCGCTCACCGGCTGGTGCCGCAGACAGGTCACGTTGCATGTAGCTATTTTCAATTGAAGCAGGTTCCTCCTTGACCGTTCATAAATGCAATCTAGGTCATGTGAGAGTATATCGTGATCCTCGTTGTTACTAATCGCCTGCCGTACCTTAACGTCACCCACAAAAGGCGGGAAATTTGAGGAAATAACCCTTGCCAGGTCGTTGATGAATACCAGGAATAAGCGCCGTGGCAGCAGTGAGCCTTGTGGGAAACCAAATTCCACCTCAATTGGGTTAGAGAATGATTCCCTAACGCGTACTGAAAGCTTCCGCTGGTGAAGAAAGCTGCCAATCCAACCAAATACAGGATCTCCGATTCCGTAGCGCTTTAGCCGTTGACGTAGGATGCGGTGATCCAGGCGGTCGAAAGCTTTGGTTAATTCCAGATAGATGAAGCCAACTCCCACCACATCATCTACCACTTCCGTCCAACTACCTCGTTCAATAAGCAGGTTGGTGGTGCAAGACGGGTGTTGAAGAAAGCCATGCTGTTCCATTGCCAATATGTCGCATTTTTCCAGGCAGTCATTTAGAGCCTCAGCGAAGGCCACTTCCATCACCTTCCGAGCACATGGAGGAGAGTCTCTGGGCGATAGTTTGCGGGATCTGAACGGATACCGCCTTGAAAAATTTGGGTCATAGTGCCACACTTCCACGTAGTGGGGACTTGTTGTTCTTCAAAGCCACTTTTGAAGAACTTTGACAATGGTCCAGCTAGATTGTTGGCCGCAGCCTTCAGTGCCTTCGGGCAGGTGTTGTTTGCTCCCAGACAGCTATGACGGCGTAATGAAAGTAACTTCCTTAGCACGATTGATGGGTTGAAAATTACTTGTGTAACCAATGGAGTCGGTACTGGGTATGACATTATAAGACAGGTAGAGGCTGCGAGTTCGAATTTTGAGACGTATTGTAGCCGCAGGGCATTAGCTGCTTCTTCGGCGTTTTGTACTCTACCGCCTGTCGTGAAAGGTGGATGGATTCCACTCTTACCTTTAAGAAGATTGTTTGCATGCCCATACGGCAGTTTTTGTCTGCCAGGAGATTTTTGGCTAAGCACTGTTGATGATAAATTGTCCTCACGGACAAGTGCGGTGAAACTGTTACGGACGGTCAGGTTATTACCTCAAGTCTCTGATTTAGGGTTAATTTGCTAGGTACGCCATGCTGCATCCGTTATCGCCAGGCATTTTCGAGTCCTGCTCCTTAGAATTGAAGACAGTTTGCGGGACGAAGGGACTTGGTCTCTGATGCTCTGTTGACGATGTCGCTGAGTCTATTAACGAACTCATTCCAAACGTTGTCAAGGGGACTGTTGTTTGAGAATTCCCAAGCAGCTGCGTGGACGAGTTCTTTCAAGCCGTGGCAGCGTGTGATTGTATGAGTTAGTTCTGAGTGTTCAGATGGATAACCTGCATAATGAACATAGTTGAACGTTATTACTACATGGCCGCTGCGACCTAATGGAATATCCATCATTAATTAGTCTACAATGAACTCTTCATTCGTGGGCACAAGATCCAATGTGGACGGTTTGTTTGCTGCGCTGACTCTAGTGGGCTTGGTGACATGGTTGTACAATGGAAGATTGGCGATCAGTTCATGCGGGTCTGGTTTGAACTGTTCACTGGGTGATGTCGATATCTCCAGGTCGTGTAGGTTGATCTCCCCGGAGATGAGAATTTAGCTGTACCTAGTGCATGTTACTCTGTTCAGGTCACAAATCAAGCGGGAATCCTTATCCGGGCTGGAGTTTTAGGGGCGGTAAACGACAGCCACGAGACAGGCTACATTGTGTCTTGGTCGGAAACTGCAACAGTAACATGAGTTTCCAGATCATCAACTATTGCACATTGCAGGTAGCTGCAGTAGTAAAGTAGGACCTTACCTCCTCTGCTGAGGCGGTTGTTCCGGAGGAGCGACTTTCCTTCAATCTCAACCTCAGCATCCGTCACCTCCTGGTGTAACCAAGTTTCGGTAATGGAAATTAGGCCCCAAGCATTCGCAACCGGACGTAGTCGAAGTTCCATACTTTTAAGAGGAGCCCTTGGGCGTTAGTGTAGATACATGAATGTTTCTCAAGTTTAAGCGATGTTTCGGAGGTTGTGCTATTCATACGTGAAGTTTCGCCAACCAGTAAGTGGCTGGCGACTGATCCATTTTCCCTGTCCTCTCTGATGTGCCAGTCGAATGTGTCAGCTTGAACTTGGGGTAAATTGCACAAGAGTGTGATCGAGAATTTTCGGGGTTAAGCCCATGGATCGCACCGGGTGAATCTGCCTTGAGACTTATGGCTGACCTAAGCAATGTTGGATTTTAACGAATGACAGTTAGTTCGAAAGCTATTGAAATGTTCTACAGAATGAGACCAAACAATTTCTCCGATGGTCTGTTAGGCAACTATTGGCGCTTCGATATCGGCGAGACACTGCCTGGAATTTAGAATTCAGGGTACATGCGGAATGTACCTAAGTGTGCTCGGAAAAATGGCATCACAAGTTGAAGCTTTTAAAAACACGAGGATTGAGTATAGATTTCAAGGTGGGCGAAAAACAACGCATAACACTAGAGGCAATAAACGCTTCGACCCCTCTTTCTTCACAATAATTTCTCACGCTTTCCGAACGGCGAATGTCTGATACATCACCTTGATAATTTGCGATGTTTCGGTGTGTACTGATGAACCACTTGATTAGTTACTCTCTTCAACTGTTAACCGACATCACAGACAACCATGGTAAGTGCCTCAATCCTGTTAGCTATGCCGTATGATTGAAAAACAACGAAACACAGCGCTTTGAGTGCATCGGTGCAGCCGTGAAACGTCTGTTACTTCTCTGCGGCAGCAGTAGCACTCATAAACCTACATTGATGAAAGTTACGGGGTTGAACCTTTTAACTCCACTAAATTCTGTGCGAACAACTTCCTGCATGCATTTTAGTGCTAAACTCTAGCTGGGACAACGTTTACAATTTTATTATTTCACAAATGCGAAGACAAAAAGAAAGTAATTCTATACGAATTAATTCAACTGGGTCATTTCTGAGCGTCGATCTATAAACTTTGCCTTCACACACTATGAAACAGTGTGCGGACATAAACATCTAATTCCAAAAAGTCTGGACTGTAACCAGCCCTCATTATTTGTACATTGTATAAAATATTCTGAGAGATTATTCCTTAATTCCCTACAAAGTTCGCGTTAAAGTCTGTATCTTCATAATACGATGTGAAACTCATAAACTAAGTGTAGGTAGCTCAATTAAAATACCACATCACACAAAAGTGTGTTAGTGCCTTCTGGACAATACCTTATCAAAAGTAGACTAATATACTAGGATTCGTCAAATGTTGATGGTAGCAACGTGGCCATCTCGAATCGTAGGTAGATTTAGGTCATAGGAAGGGTATTTATCACATGTCGACTGAATCAGGTGGACAGTCCATCAGTGTCGTGACTCTTTCTATACCCGGCTGGGCTGTGGGCTTGAAACGTTGCTTTACAGGTCTGCGCGTCTAGATTTCAGACTACAATCTGAATTCGACAATCGACATAATTATGTGTTTGTTTTATTTTGAAGCTAGAACAGGTTACAATAAGTTACAAAACTACGTCATCAATAGCAAAAGCGTTGGTAAATTAATTGGCTACGGAGGAGTTTGAAGCTAATAGAGCAAGATTAGCATAGACTGGCAAATAAGAGATTGCTAAACGTAAAAGACAGCACCGTCTAACTGAGCGCCACCGGAAACTACTTGGTGATATTGCTCAGATAAACAGAAGAAGCCATGCTTTTTCCCGTTACCTGGTTAGAAAACAATTATTAGTCTGTAGGGGTATATATATATGTTTTAGAAGTCAATCATCTTAAATTATTCAATCGAAATCACAATAACTTTGGTTTTGTGTAAGCAAATAAAGGGAAAGGGAAATAAAGGGCATATTATTAACTTAGTTTATTTATGCTAGTCTGTTTTCACACAAATGGAAACATAAACGTTTTTTCTTATTAAATAATTAAGTACATGGGATCGTATGGTTTGGGAAAATGTTCCAAGCGTCTGTAACAACAAGCGTAAAACTAGTTACACTCGCGATGTTAAAACAGGTTTGGAAATATTTTAGCCGATATTGATCAACGTTGAACGCTTTCCAGTTTATTGTATGTTATGTGGGAAACTAACGAATTAACGAAACAAAATTCCTGGATATTTTACTCGACGTAAACAGATAAAATTTGCGACCTCTTTAACATCATCTATGTAAGACGCAAGTTTCAAAATGCACCAAGAACTTCATTACAGTAGTACCACAAATATCATTGGTTGTTTCACGAGCAATGCATTAGCAAGGAAGAATCAAGAGAATTACAGTTATTAACTAAACTTCTGCACACTGAGCAATGGTACGCATGGTAAAAAATTTAAAAATGCATTTTTCTACTCGGTTACTTGTTCAAGTGTTGCAAATGAAGTTGTGTATTTATAAACTTGTAGTAACAATCGGCATGAAGTTTTAATATATATATATATATATACATGCAAATTAAACGAGTTTGTCTGATGTTTCTAGTTTGCATTTGCAATAATGCATGCGGATATGGCGAAAACCGGTCCAATGCGATCAAATATAGAATAAATTAGAAGAATAATCTGGTTTTGTTTCGTGACTGTGTGGTACCTTTTCGATCTTGAGTAAAATATTGATCTTCCAATGTCGACATCCCTGTGTATTGAAAAGGTCTCACTTTGCTCATCGAATAACGTTTAAAACCGCTTTTATGGGTAGCCGCCAAAAATGTTTAGGTTTGCAAGAATGCGTGAATCCTGTAAAAGAAAATGTGAGAATTTGTTCAACGGAGGGGCATACAATTGTTGTTTCATCAGGTTTCGCTTCTCGCAATGACTGCTTTAGGCCAATTAGCACTGCGAATTGTTATCTGTGTTAGATGCATACGTTTGAGGTAAATGAACCCGTTACCTTTGTAAATAAATGACAATACATGGAAAAATATTTATCTAGACTTGACTTGAAATAATGTTAGAACTGTAACATTGAAATGGTAAAATGCTTTGGGTGCTTCATATATAACGCATTTTGGACAGATTATATGTGCGGTTTATTCCTAATAATGCTTTTTATCAATACTTTGCCAATGCTGGATACCATTTAGAGAATTTACTGTAATAGACAAAATCATAAATGTTAACATGTAGTGATGATAATGTTAAAGTTGGCACATATGTTTAACAAAGTGCCTTGCGCCAAGACGACTGTTTTGTGAATCATGCAGAAGCATAAGTAACAATTGTTAGTCATCAGCTTTCACCCGAACCTAGTTTTGCTAGATTGCGCCTGAAATTCTTGCTTGAGCAGTACCGCCTAGTTATCACTAGTTCAGTGCAGTCATACGATTCTGGCTTCAAATGTTACTGAATAATAAAGTTTGGGCACTATAGTTTATTGATAGCTTAGCATTGATACTATCAAAAACATTACAGTAATGCGCAGACTAAGATCACGGCCACCCTTTGTAAACAGAAAACACATACAAATTATTAGCACCTGAATACCTCAACGCATCGGCAATGCAATCGTTAATATACGGGTATATTCGTTTTTCTGAATATATGTACTTTTAGTTGGGCTCCTTTCTCCACATTTGTCACAGAGAATACTTGACAATTTGTGAAGGAATATTTTTGGTAGTGATTGACACTTGCTCATGTTAGTTTGAAACCAAGCTAACAAACAATTTGTCACAGGCAAATATTGTATTTGAGGTTGCAATTTTGGAATTCGAACGAGCTGCATGCTTGCTGTTTACAAACGAATTTGCTAAAGAAGGAAACGAACTTTTCTTTGACATCTTTATTGCTCTTTGCACAAACTTATAAGCACTTTATTCCTTAAAGTACTTCCTCCTAATAGCAATAAACCGTTGCCAAAAATGCCTCCATTTTGGAAAACCTTCTGGAATGAACTTCCTTGGATTGCGCGCAGGTCACTTTTCGCATTTTCTTGAATCTCCTCCACGACATAGAAACTACGTATTTGCAACGTGGTTTTAACTTTGTTTAACCAAAAATGTCTACTGTAGCTAGATCCGGGGCGTACGGCGGAAGGACACAACAGGAGTGTGATGTTTTGCTAGTTACGTGCAAATAGGAATCGATGCGTGAGCGAGCGCATTTTCCTGATGCAACATACATGTCTGGTTTTCCCACAGTTCAGACATCTTCTTGCGCACATCATACCTCTAACGAGCAAGGGGTTCCTGGATGACTTTCTTGTTTACTCTCTGACCATGGGGTAAAATTTCCTGATGGACAGTGCGTTGACAGTCAACAATGCAACATCCACTTTACTAACTACTATTTGTATGATAAGAACATTTCCTTCTCCACTGCAACGGCTGCACATTCGCTTTGATATCGTATCCATAAACCCATGTTTCATCTAGTGTTATGGTGTTCTCAAATAAGCTTTTATTGACTAACATTTACAAGCATTTCCTGGCGGATTACAACATGTTCTGTTTCTGATCGTCAGTCAACAAACGCGGCATTATATTAGCACTGACATGACGTATCTCAGGTTTGCACAAAATATTTGCCGGCATAATTCAACGCTGATGCCCACTTCATCAACAACTTCTGGAACATCTACATGACAATTTCCAGGGATCAGAGTACAAACGCTGTCATCAAGGTTATCGTCTGATGTTTTGGAAGGTCGTCAAGGCTTGGGACAGTCACCGAGGAATTCCATGGTGTGCATAACACATAAACCTCTTACAGCTTTGCGTGTGTTTTATACAGTTCTTCCCATATGCATAGCCAATCAACGGATATGTTTCTGCAAAAGGTTTGCCAAGTTTTTATTAAATTTTTTACAAGCACATGTTGTGATTGCAAGCACTTATATTGTCCCTTTGGCACTAATCCGGCTAACAGATTGTGCACGTTCTGAAATCAGCAGCTGTAGCTCACCAATTAACAGTCGGAGCGAGATACGGTAAATGGCATTTTGTTGTTTAAAGAAGCTTACAAATGCCCTCAGAAGCCCAGCGCGCTCCGTCGGTTTGCGAGCTATTTCAAAAGATCAGTATTTTTTGAGCACACCCCGTATAGTTATGCAGTTAAAATAAGAGGAATTAGCTAATTACAATTTACTAGCATTCCGGTTTGTGAGCGGAAACTAACATCCACTGATTTTCAAGTAACGCTTAATAGCTTCCCATGGAGAAACAGCTTTTGAATGATGTCTTGCTTTTGATAAAGCCTGTTATACTAGGTAACCTTCATAACTAGACATTAAATGGAAAGTGTGTAAGTTTGAATAACCTATAAACAAAATACCAAATAAAGCCCCTACTACTTGCAAACCAATGCGCGGCGTACTTTTACTGAGCATTGTTGAGAAAAGTCGGAATTTTAACTGTTTTTGAGCATTACATTTTGATTCGGCTAAATGTAAAACCCAAGACATATTTCAGGAATAAAATTATCGTTTTATTTAATTAAAGTTGAGGAGAATGGCTCAGCAGTGCTTACATCCTGGACTCTAGATTCGTTACAGCAGATTTCTTAAACAACTGCCAGAAGCTGAACCCGTATGAAGACTTACCGAAAATGAGGTTGCAAAGAATTCATCTCTGGAAATTCGTCCGTCCTTATCCAGATCAAATGTCTGCCAATAATTAAGGGTACATTAATTGTTGCTATCAGAACAAAACTTGAGTAAGCCTACGGATTGTGCATGATAGTGCTAACTGTCGACACAAACATGCTTTCCTGAGCTTTTACCGGTGCAATCAATGAAAGGAGGTACCATAATTCCAACACCCATCTTAACCTTCTTACTCACTGCATTTATGCATTTAAAAGATACTAGATTTAAAATAGTTGCAAAACTATTGGTGCCGTTGCTCCTACAAGCATTACATCAATGTTGACAAGAAAGGCATTGATTGAATAATTATATTTAAGGCAGTTGCTTCAAAACATTAATATAAAAGCAACATACATTCAATATTACAATATTACGTTTACAGTATGCTAAGGCCAGGTGGTTTACGCTTGTTTGAGCATCATTTTCATATTCAACCGTAACGCTACATTTTCATTCACAACTGATCTCCTGGTAATGAAAGGACGCTAGCAACGATTTTGTTCAGAACTTTATCTAAAAGTTATCTTACATGGATTTTGACCACGGATTTTGTTGATAATTTTCCTCGACACAGCGAGGAGCCTGGACTTAAGTGTGTGAAATGCAAGGTTATCCCAATATACAAATTATTGCCCATGATGTTTTAACGAGGTGTTTTACTCGGTCACCAAAATTCAAATGAGCACTTAGAGAAAATATATTTGATCTCAAGTTTCACAACGTTATCTATTTTCATAAACATACAGAGGCACCAAAGTTTAGTGTTTTCAATTTCTATGACCCATTATTAAGATAATATTACAAAACATTACAGCGAAGCAATGTGTCATAGAAAAGAAGGAACATATCCCTGGACGGATGAGGTAAGCTAAAATAGGAATATGGCCTGTAAAGATGTCACAAAGCAGTAAAGTGGTCAACTACGAGTACACTTGTAACAAAATAACGGGCTGACCAGACTCGATTGTGCACACTGTTTGCATTAATATGAGCTGTTTATACAGACTACCCGTATTTTGGTGTTGCACATACATTGTGCATGTCCAGGTTCGAGCATATATAGATCGCATGTGGATGGTGGTAAGAAAAATACGTAGAAAATTTTGGGGTTAAAGACCATCATATAATATACTAAGCCGTTACTGTATACTAATTTAACATACATCACACACACATGCTGATTGCACCAAAACCAACATCACTAACAGATACCAAGGCTTTGGAATTAAATCTAAGTAAAGAACATGTCTTTCATCCGTTAAGTCATAGTTCCCCCTGCAGTTGTGTACACACTGAAGTTTACTGTTGAGCCAATATACAGCTGTATATGTTGACAACTGTGAACTAGATATATTTCTCGATATATTTCTCGGTGTTTGCATCTGCTATTCAATTTTAGGGGTACTCTATCATTTGACATGCTAAAGTAGCGGAATCAACGAGACAATTTTGAGCCCAAAGGTTCATTAACTACCTAAGTGCTGCAGCATTACTGGTGTTATTTACTTGTTTTAACCCATAGCGGGATAATTGACACTTATCTATTCAACGTCGCCTGTTAAGGTGTTTAGTAAAAGAAGAATATAAATGGATCATTCGATCGAGCTTTAACTCTTACCCATGGCATAAATATCTCTCTCTCGAGAATGAGTCTTTAATTCATTCCTACCAGTAGGAAATCAAAACGATGCAGGGGAAAAAAGCGTTTACGTAATCTCGCCCCTCACCATATAGATAAATCACAAGCAATAGAAACGAAATGTTGTCTTATATAGCAAGTCGCTTAAGATACGCAAAGTTTATTTTCCGGCTTGCCCGTTAGTTTTTCGAAGCTGTATTAAAGAATTATGCTATGGTTTATGTCAGCATTATGCGACAAGCCAGTACAAGCTTAAAAGGGAGAAAGTAAATGCTCTGTTGAAAACAATTTCATGAATGTTTGCCAAGCTCACTTGCATCGTCGCTTCGACTCGCGCCTCTATGATCTGTGTACTTTTTAGTCCGTCAGCACGGGATCGAATCAAGTCAAAAATGGCTGTTGCAACTTCCGTCAGCTCAAGCCTACTTATATAACCGTCACCGTCCAGATCATACAAACGGAAAACCCAGTCAATTTTTTCATGGTCAGTTCCGCGCGTGATTTGTGAGAGCATGCGAGCAAACTGCTGTAACAGTGAACAGGAGGAAGTGAAATATGATTAACTGGGTGCGTTGTGGAGATACACCAAAGATTTTCCTAAGGCCATCGCATATCCATTGCACATGCAGCCACGGGTTTTATTGCACTAAAGTTTTTAAATGAAAAATGTCTTCCCCTTTTAGAAAGAGGCAACACAAGTAAAACAGTCTAACTTTAGTCGGCACAAACATTTTATATTAAAAATTGTAGAGGCACGAACTTATTTACGTTTGTTTTGTTAAACATCTTACATTACGCTACTTTTGTTGATATTTCTGTTTTGAGGAGTGTATTCGGCAAGTAATTTAGTAAAAATACGTTTAACACTGATAGTGATTTGTTTTTATTTTTAAAAATAGATAAAAATGCCGTGTCACTCTAGCGGTCACTTGTTGCTATGACTATAATCACAACTTCTTTTACACTAACTATAACTTATTTTCTACAACCCAGAAATCACTGCAACTTACTGAAGCGAATAAAATTACTTTCAAATTTAGAATTGAAGCATCAAATTTACCGTAGACCTACTGTATGAATTAATATCACTTACATAATCGCACTCCTGGTACTATTTTGCTTTGAGAGAAATTAGTACAACTTACCTGACTATGAATTATGACCCTCATAAATAGCAAGGTATTTGTAGTAAGTAGAAAAGTTTAACCACACAAGTTAACTTGCAAATAAAACTAACTAGCCAAAGCTAACTAGCCAAATAGGAAGTTAATTTTTCCCCTGATTTGTGGTACCCTCGTTTAATATCAGAACTCACTTCAAAAGATAGCTTTCCGGATTTAGCTTTGTCAAACACACGGAAGCACAGTTGTGCGTAAGATGCCGGAGCTAAAAATTTGGATAAAATAAAATTAAACACAACTGAATGCCTGTTCATAAGATAGTATGCGAGCGTTTTTATTTTACTAATAACACGCGCAATATATTAAGCTTTTTCGCTAGGTTATCTTAGGTACTGATGCCGAAAACAGCATTTTTGGAGCGAATCATTGGGAGATTTCCTAAAGTTAAATTCAAACCTACCAGTAGATAAATACAAAATTTTATTCTCAACAGTGGGGATAGTTCACTGCTTACCGACGGATTTCATAGTTATATTGACAAACTTATATAAGTATGGTTATTTATGTGATTGAATATTAACGCGTATAGCGAACACATTGTGTAATATTAAAAAGAATCAAATGATGCAAAGTTAGTTATTCTGGCAATATTATGTTTAAGTAATATTGATCCGATAACTGTATAGATCCGTGTTACTAAATCATTTTTCTAGGATATTACAGTTAATAATCCTCAGTTACTTTGTGTAACTTGCCTTGTTATCTGCTGTATGCAATTAACTTGAACTTACCTCTACCCGGGAAGAAGCTTCGATACACTTGAACAAACGTATCCTTGGTTGCGTAACCGCTTGGACACATCTGAGAACAATAAAAATGTAAGTGTTTTGGATCGACAGCTATAGGTGGGCCGTTATTTTGTGACTCTATCAAGAATAATACGCCCAGATTAAGCAAAGTAAAGAAAAGCGGAAAAGCAAAGTGGGAATTTGTTGAATATCCATGGGTTTGCAAATTCGCCAAGGCAATATTAAGGTAATACTTCATGCCAGAAACAAAAGTATTATGACTAAGCAGTAGCAGCCGCAGATTTAAAAATTAATTAGCCGACATCAGCTGATTGTAGACTTGCATTTTAACTGGTGTTGTAAGGAATTTCGTTTAAAGGATTTGAAGTCATTATCTTTTCATCTAGGCCGACATTATTTTAGGCATTGCAGCTTTGTGGCTTTAAATGCTTAAAACCTTTTCATCTGCAATCAAAAACTATTTAAAGTCGTGCCTTATACGAGTGCTAATTATTTGACATACTTCAAATAGCTTCACCAAAGTGCGTCGTCTTATCACCCCACTTGCCTGGTGTTATGTAAAACTTTGTCAGATTTCAGCTAAGCAATCTACACAAATTTTCCAATTTTTAAATCATAAGCACAGGTACTGTGCATAGCAAATGTAAAATCTATATTCACCCTGTATATTTATCAACATAATAAGTAATATCGTCCGGTAAAGGAATCCTGTCAAATGCGTAGGTTTGTCATAAGAGACTTGGGAGTTTGCTGAATTTATCACAAGCACCTGGCAAAACACTACAGTAGAAGTGACGGGCAACTGATTAATTCATGTTGGCAAACTAGCTGCCGCAGTCAAAGCTGCCGAGAATATCGAGCCTGAGATAAGTGCTTAACGAATACAGGCACTGGTGCTGGGTGTAAACGGAACGAAAGAAAGGGAAACAAGAAGTCCTGTAATCAACCTTCAATGATTTACTTTATGGAGCGCTAAGCAATTACGCTTGGACCTGATGCGGTTGATGCATCATTCGCATAATCTAACAAATACGCCACCTACCACTGCTTCGCACAACAACGGTTAAGTAAAACATAAAGTTTAGATTATTTTGCCGTTTAAACTGGTGACCAGTAGCTTAAGCCGATTGTGTCAGGTAGTCAGGAATTCGTTATCGGAGGTTTCCGGGGATGCGTATTATTGGCAGGTACAAATACGGTGAAATTATCGTCTGGCGCATTATCGGATAGAGTCCAACGTACATCAAAACTGCTGTAATAAAATTTCAAAACAAATATGTGAAATAGAGTATGTTATATAGAGCTAGCGAACGAGAAGTATATAAATTGATAATTTGCTATGCTTATACTTCTATCTTATGTAAACTTTAGAGATTGATACAGCTTAAATGCAAAGCAAGACCTTGGATATTTGTGCACCAATATAATAAATCGGATTAAGTGTAAACATTAACAGGTACACGGCGTTTATGTAAAATAACAAATGGAAGCATAAATTTACTCTGTGCATACATAGGTGAACTCTGCATACCACTTTAAAATAGGTTCAGTTGGTCAGGAACAAAAGGACGCGTTGTGATTATGGTGCTGCGTGAGTCGACACAACTATTATTTAGACACACAGGTCCAAAAATGATAGCACTGCCTTCAACCAAAGCTGCTCAACACGTAAACCTCAAAGATTCTTAAAATTCCGGCTGAGCAGATTTCGAGGTTATGGCAGGAATAATTTTGTGCTGGTAAATGGTAAGGCTGTCAAACTGCCTGACGATGTTTTGTGCTGTCACTGCAGTAGGTATAAAAATATACTTATGCATTTGTTCGATAAAGCAGCATAAGACTTTGCGATATCATTCAACTTCTGCCTTACACTAGTGTCGATTTTATCGACAATCCCAAGCAATACACTTTATATCCACTTCACTTTTCAATAATACTAATAGTTGTAAACGTGATATGAGAGTTCGGTAAACAATTCTTTCTAATGCAACCTGCGCTTGACATAATCACCCTACTTGACCGCACCAAAAGATTCACTGTAATCTTTGATGTTGCAGGCCTAGTGATAGTGTTGCAAACGGATAATTGTGCATAAAACTCTTTACTGTGTATGTAGTAATTCCATACGCATGTCACATTTAGAATGGTATTTTTATGTTCCTGAATCTCTCATTTTCCAGCTTGGGGTAACTAACTAAATTGACCAATTGCTCTCACGGTAGTGTGGGGTATAATTTATCGGATAAAAGCAAATATTAGGTAACATTTCTAGTCCACCGAAACATACAGGCTATAAGTTTAAGTAATTTTGATCAGGAAAGTAGATGAATAGAGAATAAGAACCGTGTAGTTAGTTAAAGGACTTAAGTAAAAACAGTTGTGATAAAAGATCGTTAAATTGCATAATTTGTACTTTACAGAAAATATGCAATAGAAATTAGGCACGATTAGTTCGTTAATTTCTAAGTTAAGTTGAATAAAGTAAAAAGACGAATTCAAAACTAACATATGTTACACTGTGTCACCTAAGATTTGCACCATGTGAGAAATTGAACGCATTTAACTCTTCGATATATATCTCCTTTAATTTAGCTATTTCAGTTATTGTGATAGATGTTCATTTATTTTCAATAATTACACCGTGTGGCAGGCTACACTGTGAGAATAGCATAAAACTGAGTAGGTGTTTACAAGATATATATTTTTCATTTCACTAACATGTACACAATAAAATGTGATGCATAATTATCAACTAGAATACACAATAGGTGTTGGTTTACTTGTATTTAGTATCACATAGGTTTAATACCTCTTTGTATTATTTCTTCAGATATCAAATGATGCAAACGGAATACATTTGCAACTACAGATTTCTTTTGACCAACAATCTGGAGCATGTAGGATACCATTTTTTAGGTGTAATAGAGTTAATATATTATACACAAATTTATCAAAAAAATTTTGACACTTGAAGACCAATCGAAGGACACCAATTGGTACCAGCTTAGTTAATGTGTTGCAGCGTATCTTATCGCGGCCACCGTATTTATCGCACATAAAGACCTAATATTTCGACAGAACTCAGGCCTACTCAAAAATTTTCCGCTTTTTGAGCAAAAGATTTACAGTAATATTGCAGTTTAGTTTTACAATGTGGATCGTGATAATAATCTATCTAAATATATAGACTGCGACAAATATGGAAAGCTGAAAGAGGCACTCTATTAATAGCAAATAAGTAGAAAACATGATTGCCCAAAATAACCAGTCCAAATATTATTAAAAATAAAGTTTACTAAACCCCAACTTTTCTAATTTAATACAATTTACGTAATATTCTCGGGGGTAGGTGGCTACTATCCATTTAAGTCAGCTGTGTGCGGGGTTGCTTTTCTTCTACCGTAGCCGGTGAATCACCTTTCATAATTCCAAACCTACAACCTAGGTTCCTACAGCCGATACCTTAAAGCAACTGAGCGATAATACTCGAGCCGTTCATGCATGTTCCGCATGCATCTTGAGACTCAGAAAATGCCCTTTAGTGCTTATTATCAATAAGCGTTATTATTAATCAAATTATACTAATTCATGTATATTTTAAAGGCAATGAATATTTTGCCAATGCAAATCCTTACGGGCAATAAAACACAAATAAGAAAGCACGTTGCTTGATAAAGTGTAACTCGAGATGCGGTTTCGACGTCGCAGCATGGTAATGCGTCAGTCTATCATATCAATCGGAGTGCCGAGAGAACGCAGCGAGAGGCAGCGGACTTGTGTTACGTAATATTGATCGGGTTTGTTCTAATAGGTGGAAGCATCATGCACCAATATGTTACACACAGCGACAAACCTAGTCCATTAAACTACTCTCAAATAGCTGCACAGAAAACGTCCTCAGTGCACTGAACGCCAGTGGTTAGTTCTCCATCGGGAGGTAACTACTAATGCTTTGGAATTGGAATATTGTTCGGAGGTACGCGCGAGAGATAAGCATTATCACTGGGGCACAGTTCATGTTTCAACTAGTTGTAATGGAACCTTAACAAGTCGGCGCGATGTTTTTCAAGGTCTCGAAGTACTATAGCTTATAGCCCTGCAAAGACTGATGGAGCTTCGCATGTGTGCTAAGCGCCTGTTTCTGTATATTAAGTATTTGGGGCCTTGGAGGATGTAGCGACTATTCGAAGTCTAAACTATGTGATCGCACGAAACAGGACAGTAAAATCTTAGAAACTTATAATATACATGTGATCTGGGAAGAGGAGATAAAACGTAAATTTCTGGTACCGTGCTTCAATTATCCAAGTCCATTACAGTAAATAAGTAAAGGACAATTTTGCAAACGTAATGATACAAAGCACACATCGGAAGGCCTGGGGCTTCCTACGCAAATGTTTCAGTGTAGCAGCATTCTAATCGAATGTTTGTCAAATTGAACTATTTGATTTTCAATAGTCAAGCATACGACGATGCCATGAAGTGAAGCCGTAAGTTTTTCCATAATGCAAGTGTTCGAAGCGAACATACGCGGGTAGCTGCAAAGAAATAAGAAGTGATTGGGAATAGCTACTTCAAATTCTCAACTAACTATCCATTGTGGTTGAATAAGCAAAATTCCTTTTGTGCTCTACAAACAACGCCTTCACAAGTTTTCTAACGTTGGTGGTACCACAAAATTTCTGGCGCACTTGTTTAAACGCGTCACAGAACGGCCGTCTAGGCTTCCAAACATATTCATCTTGATTGTTTGCTTCTGCTGGTATACGCTGGAGTGCAACATTTACAAGCAAGAAAAGCTGCAGAGAAACCTGTGGAGATGTGCGACGAGAATCTATAGGCTAAAAACCATTTCGAAATCATTCCTCACATCAGCGTAATCACTATCAAAGACGTATGTTAACAAGCTCTTTAGCCACTCGTCTGTCCCTTAACCAAATCCATTACCCATAGGATAATTAGGGGTCATCCATGTTTTGACATATTAAACAAACCACGTTTGACAGGATGTTTTCCAACTCCGCCTTATGGTATTCATATTTGTAAGTACTT